CATATACATATATATATGTATATGTATATGTATATATGTATATATATGTATGTATATATATATATATGTATATATACACATATATATATATACATATATATATATATACATACATATATACACATATATATACACGTATATATATATGTATATATGTATATATATACATACATATATATATACATACATACATATATACATATATATATATATATATATATACATATATATATATATGTATGTATATATATATATATACATATATATATATATGTATGTATATATATATATATACATACATATATATATACATATATATATATACATATATATATATATATATACATATATATATATATATATATATATATATATATATATATATATATATGTATATATTCATGAGAAGGAGATCTAATCTAGGGAATAACTAAGAGGGAGGACAAATAAAAAATATGTAGACTGAATGAGCAATGTTACAGAAATAAAAATTGAGGTGCTTCCATCCAACAGAGGTCTCTCTCTTTCTCTATCACCATCAAGGAATCTGCACTTATTCCTCTAAGAAATGACATGAGAATAGTCAAAATATTCCGTAGAGTAGTAAAGAGCACAGATGAAATATTCATTTGGCATCTGTCTTCATATATGTACAAAAATCTTAATGAATTGTGTGCATATAAATGTAGGGAGAAAGAGGTGTGTATCATATCCATGCATAATTCACACATATATATCATTAGTAGATGGAGTAGCATAATCTAATTATGCTCGAGTTCATATAAAGGATGATTCAGGATTAGCCAAAGAACATATAAAAGGCTTCAAAATAGTTGAAGAGAACCTCTTTCCATCACAATCATCTGCATAATTTACAAGATGAAAACACATAGAACTGAAAAGATATCAAAAGTCTAAAGGAATGCTCGTTTTCTTCTCCATTATTATTTTTGGTAGGATCATAATGTTGTTGTCATACTAGTCAATCTTTGATGTGCAATGCATTGTGATGAACTTTTGTCTTTGGACCATCTAAGAAGAGATGTCTGTGAGCCACTAGAAATGGGGCAGATTCTGTCCTGTTTTCTGGGATTGCATGGTGGCCAGTGAGTGATTTCGGAGGTGATAACAACTTTAATGTCCCTGATCTTGACCTTTCGAAATAAAGGAACATCACATGATCATGGAAGGGAGAGACAACACCACATGATCCAAAGTCTAGTGAACATCACCTCCATGCTCTTGACCCCACACCTGCATGATCCTGTGACTCCTCTCCCTGATAGCCATAGATTGCCAAACACATGTAGCAAAAGTTGTCATCCATCCAAGAGTACAGCCAGCTTTGCCAAGGACAGGGTCATGCATACATGTTCCTAAATAAGGGACAGTAAGAGAAGAAGGGGTATTGATAGAGTTTCATTTGAGTAATTATCATGTCAATCTACCTCATCTCAGTAAGAGATGTTGTGGCCATCTCAAGTAGTATATAAAATCAATCTGATATGGGATATTTGAACCAAGCTATGAGTCTCATTTGGTTGCAATTCATAATCTCCCCAACATATTATATGCTGAGGCAGCAAGTATGGCAAAAATTTGGCTCACCCTGTTCAATATTAGGTTCTGATAGTAACAAGCAAAGAAGGCCTCCACCACAAGAAATTGATGGACAAAGCCTATGCATTATGTAGTCTTCTACTGGCACTTGTCCTCAGCAATGTCATGTCTCTCAGACTACAGAAGATTGTAAAAGAAGAGCAAAGATAAAGAAGGCACTCCTCCAATAGTGATATTACAACCTTTTGCTCATAAATTTACAGATTCATCAGTCTTTTGTGTTAGCTTTTCTCTATTCTTGGACTCATTTTTGAACTAGTTAAAATGGTAAGTCTCTTTGTTACTTCAATAATTCATGTTGAGCATGGACCCATGGCTATTACTCTTGTCCTTCTATTCAACAAACCCTCAGCAATGCACAGTAACTTTGTGTGGAAAAACCAGTCGTTTGGTTGTTTTCATGATCACTTTGGTAGGAGGAAGCCATAAAGATCTTCCAGAACAAGATTGTGGCTCTGTCAATTTGTTGCAACATTTAGTGATTTCTTTGCTTCCTCTGTATGATCCGATGCACTTCATATCGGCATGAATTTTCTCTTTAACAATTGACATGTTAGAAATTTAGAGATCAATCGAGATTTGGTCCATGTCACAGTACCACTACTGGAAGCTTGCTCGTTAGGAGCAGAGAGGACTCAAATGGAAGATGATGTTAGAACTGGGAGAGAAAAACTTGAACATCTTCTCCCCGTTTAAGTAGAATATGACATATTTATTATTGTTTTGATTTCATTAAATCTACTAACCTTTTTTTTACCTATATGATCTGATCCAAACCTTTTCTTTGTGACTGAAATTTTAGATGTTCTTTCAATCATTTCCATTGTTTTTAGTTTTGATCCAAAGACGAGCACAGAGCTGATGATTCCAACACCAGAAGATCCCATTGCCGAGCACGGCCATGACACAGGCATGTCGTTCTTGGCTTTATTCTCACTGCCTTAGCATTCCTAGTTCTTGGCGAGGTACTCATCCAAGGCACTGAAGGTCTTGGTCGCCGTCTCCGTGACGAGGTCCGGGTCAGGGACCTCTATGTTGGCCTTCTCGTACTCCATGCACCACTTCACCTGGCTGCCGTCGCCGTTGGGTTCCACCTTCAGGCTGGCCTTGAAGTTCTTGTAGTAGCTCACCAGCTCGCCGTCGATCAGGCTGTACGACACCTGCTTGCTTGCGTCGTCCACCTCCTCGATCTTCTCCTTGGCGAACGTCACCAGTGGAACTCCTGCACCCACCCAACAACTCTTTCACGGTGGATCACGACGAGGACAACCGACTGGGGTTGGGATTGGTGGGTGCTCACCCTGGGCGTATTTTAGCAGGCGGACGGTGCCGGCGCTGCGGCCATCGCCCTCGACGATCTCGATGCTCTGGTACTGCTCGGGGAAGACCTTGGGGAAGAGCTCGGTGGAGCCACGGATGGCTTCCCAGAACCTGTCCGGCGAGGACTTCACCGCCACTAACACTTCAGCCGTGGAGGCCATGGATGATGATGCTAAGGGATGAAGCAGTAGAGGAGTGCAGATATAGTGGAGGCATGGGGGAGTGTGATCTCCGGTTGCTTGCAGTGCTCATTGAAGAGGCTCATCAGCTGCCACCTACTTCACTTTGCTCTTCAATGCCCGGTCGGTGGATTTATGTGAAGCATGAGATCTGGATCACAAACGTAGACTGCATTCATGGCTTCGGCTATTTATGAGCAGAGGAAGTTTGTTCGAGCAGCGACATCAGAAAAATATTCATCTGGAAGAAAAAGGATGAAAATAATCAGATGATAAAACATATATAAAGTTTTATCCATAATTTAACATCTTAGATTTTAAGTTGAATTAATTTCCAATTCAATGTATGTTATTCATGATTAGTTCTACTAATCAATCAATACTCAAAACAATATATATTTGTGAGATAAAAATTAATAGAAGATTAAGAATAGTTTTGTATTATTTATTGCTCACTGTATTATTATGTACTTCAATATAACTGTAGTTTCTTTGTGTGTGTGTGTGTATCTGAATACTAAGCTCTATATATTCTTGTGGAATAATTGACTGGAAACAAAGCATAGAATGGGTTTTCTCCTTGAAAGCAACCACAGCTCAGTCCAAGTTTTAGGAGTTCTGCCTGAAGAAGGGCTGAGATGTGTTAATCCTGCTTTCTTTAATTAGGTTTTCTTTTACTGCAGTAGGTCATATCATTAACTGAGAACAGTTCTCAAGGAAGGCAACCCTTCCCCACTGTGATCAGTGACAGGATGTTATGACACATCAAAACAATGCATCACTAACCATACTATGCACTTTCAAATCCTTAATGCTCATCCATTTCAGAAGATGAATCAGGAGGAAGCTACAGAAGATAGAAAACTGTGAATGAAATCAATCCTGCTTCAAGCCAAGTTCTATCCTTGTTATGCAGCAGATTAAAGAATCAAATTGGAGTATAATGTTTACTTATCAGTTTCACAAAGAGCTACTGTCAGGAAGCAAAAGCCAAGTCAGATACAAGCACAGCTCACTGTGAAGCAGAAATTTCAATGATAAGAAGCATAAATGAACTGATCTCATTTGCCATCTGACACAGCTGTTTTCTTTTCATAGAAGAAGGTCTATTTTGTCATGTAGAGAAGCATAATTTCATTTCCTATCTTACAATTTACACTCAATTATGGTGACTAGTTCTTACAACTTAGTTTACACTTCTTCCTTGAAATCATTTTAATCTTATTCTCTGAAGGCACAGATATATTTTGCTAGTATTGGAATTTGCTTATGAACTAGTGTGTTTTTCTATTTATATTAATCTTCTTTTCTTCTTTATATATGTCATCTGTGTTCATTGAAATATCTTTCAAATGACCCATGGTTGAAGCTACCATAATTATTCTATGACATAAGAAAGGCATGACTTTCATGATACCTTCACATGGGATGCCAGCTGGTTGTTCAAAGATCAGTAAACAACACATCTTTTCTGAGTGAAATCTGAAGCCCAACATCAATATGATTGCCAATAGAACTCCCAAAACTATAAATCATACATAAAGAAATCCACTCCAATCCTTTTTCAACTTGAACAAATTTAAGTTTCAACAAAGAATTTGATCAAAAAGTGCTGCCCCCAACATAAAAACTCAAAGTTCCACCAAATATATTATTTGATGATCCATGGTGTGGACTTTAAGAGCTTCAAAAGAAACTTCTTGATGGGGCTCCAACTGGCCTCCAATTTCCATTTACCAATCTAAACAAGGGAACACCATGAACCAGTACTGGTCTTCATCTGATCTTTTTCCAAGCAGAGACATTCACATTTCTCTCATTGACAGCAACAACACAATCTTTTTGCACTCCAACTGTCCATAGTCTACCAGCTTTTGACCAAAGAAAAAGCATTAAATCTAAAATCTTCCCTGGTAAGATCTAAGCATATGTTATGTGTTCATGAATTCTCTCAGTATCCTCTTCTTTGATTCATAACAAGCAAGCTTTTAGTAACAAAACACACAAAAAATGGGTCTGTCTAAGCTGAATTCACCCCTTTGTATCATCTTCCACATTAACTTGCACAACTCTTTCAGTACTTCTGCTAACTTCTCATCGTTTAGCCTCAAACAAAAACAGATCAAGAAACAAACAAGAAGAAAGAATGATTCTGACTTGGAATGGAAGTGATGGGAAGTGCTTCATTTGCTCTCACCCTTCCATCTCCTCATCATCTCCAGTAGTATCTCATTCCATGAATCAATTGGGCCCGGCAAGCACCAGTGCACACAGTCATTCTGCATCCTCTCCTGCGCTCCATTGGCAAAAGGATTGGGATGCATGTATGGCCCCGGGTGGCCGTCCGGCCTCATCAGTGCCATCTTGGTCACGTCCAACGCCTCAAACCTCAGCCCCTTTCCTCCTCCCCTCTCCGCCGCCGCTGCCACTTCCTCCACCTCTATCTTCCTCATCTCGGCGTCCATGTACTCCATCTCCTTCTCCCCTTCCTTGTATGGCTCTTTCTTCGGGCACGCCCCGGCCTTGTCCCATTCCCCCTCGAAGTGCGCCGGGGAGAAGGTCGTCACCACCACGAGCTTCTCGGAAGTGCCTGGTGACGAATCGTGTCTTCTGCTGACCTCCCTGAGAGTGGTGTTGAGTGCCTTGCGGAACACATCGAAGAAGCCGATCTCGGTGTAGTTGAACTCCGGGCAGTGGTGGCAGCCGAGAACGACCCCGTTCTCGCGGTAGAATGCCGGGTGGAGGTACCAGTGCCCCACCGAGAAGACCACCACGTCCATCCCATCCAACTCCGAAGCCCACCGCTCGTTGACGGATTCCAGGTACAGATTGTTGTGGTACTGCCCCGTCGCCTCCGACTTCTCCACTCCCTTCACCAGGAAGGGCGACCAGAGGACGGACACGGTCGCGTTGCGGCCGCGGAAGACCCACCGCCGGAACTTATTGTCCTCGCCATCGCGGTAGACCAGCTCGGGCTCCTCCGCGGTGGCGAGGAGGCAGAGGAGGGACTCCAGCTGGTTCCGGGCCATGGAATCGCCAATGAAGGCGAGATGCCTGTTCTCGATCAGCCGCAGGAACGCGGCTGGGTCGAAGGCTGGGACCGCGCACTGCTTCGGCTGCCACCGCCAGTGGAGGTAGCCGGTGTCGGGCCGGCCATGCGCCATGCAGTTCTGCCCTTCTTTGATGGTCTTGCAGCCGGTGCCACTGTAACGAGGCTCGCCGGAGTGTCGAACCCACTGGCCATCGGAGTAGTTGCACCGGGGCCTGCTCGGCCGCTTCTTCAGCTCAGCTATTCCTGCTGCAGAATCGCAAAAACCACACACAAACAGATCAGTGTCATGACATCTGCCCAAGATAGAAAGAAGAGTGAAGCTGGTATACCTTGGGAGGAGGAGGAGGAGGAGGTAAAAGTGGTGGTGGTGGTGGAAGAGGCGGAGGAGGAGGAGGAGGAGGGCGAGAGAGTGGCGTTTGGTTGGGGAGGGGGAGAAAAGAGAGGGAAGAGGTACAAGTGGAGAAGAGCCAAGGGGATGATGGTGTAGAGAGCCCAAATGATGAGCTTCTTGAGGAGGAGATGATGGGTTTTGGGGGTGTTGTGATGGTGGTAGAGGTGTGTGCCCATTCCTGTGTTGGGGTTGTGGTGGATGATGGGGAGGAGATTAAGGGAAGCTTGGGAAGGTGGAGAAGAAAGAGGAGAAGGTGACAAATGCCAGTGCAGTGGCGACATGATTGGGTCAATAGCACTACTAAATAATAATGTCCCATGTGTTGGGGCCCATGTCCCGTCTTTCCCTTGTTTTACTTTTATTTTTGCATATTACTCTCTCTATTTTTTTCCATTTTTTTTTTCATAAATTTATTTTATTTCCTGCTGAAGACATCACTCGCACTAATAATAATTATTTTCAGACTTCGTCAAAAACTTCTAGTGAGAGATATCACCTAATTTGTTCCATATATATATATATATATATATATATATATATATATATATATATATATAATGGCAATTGAAATTTTTGTTCGCAATTTCCCATTCCACCGACAGAAGCTTCGGCCAATTGGGTGGCACGTCGAGTGCGGAATTCGGTGTCATTAGATTGACCAGAATCTACCACGATGTGCCACGACTGGTAGTAATGGCATTCCATGACTCATTAATATCTATAATATACGTAAGAGTAATAAGTGTAGTATTTGTATATATACAGTAAAATTATGTATTTTAATATATATATATATATATATATATATATATATATATATATATATATATATATATATATATATATATATATAACATACACATGTAGATTCAGATATGAAACTTATCACTCGTGAAACATTATACTATCTCGACAAAAAATCGTACGTTATTTAATATTAGAAGCGTGAATAATAAATATGCAAGAAAATGCTTTGGCATCTCATAAATCTCCCCTCCAAAACTAAACTGGAATCTCGGATGAAACATTAGTAGTTGGGCACCATATGGGCCTATTTTGGGTGGCCCAATGGGCTTTGTATGTCTCATTCAAATCTGGCACAAGAAATGGATCATAATTTAGATCTGTGATCTAATCATATAATTTTATTATATATAGTATGGCATTATATGATACTAAATTGGCATATTGTTAATGCATGATATTACAATAAAATTATGTGATATTATGCTATATGGCTTACTAAAAATAATGTGCATCAATGGTGAGGTAATTGTTTCTTCATGAGCAATGAAATAATGTTTACCTTTTTATATAAGAAGACCAAAAAAAAAAAAAAAAATTTGAAATTTTCTTTCACAGTTGTAATGAATACATCTTCTTTATTATCTAAATAAACATATTTGAAGACACTGTAACGAAATTTTTTAATCGTTTTTTAATGTCATCAGACCATTGTGTATACAGAATATAGTGTAATAAATAAAAAATATAAAAATATTTCCTATACGGTATTTTTATGTTATTATTACAGTGTTTTAGAAATACGAATGAAAACACTATAACGAAATCTTTTTAATTGCTGTTTTCGAATCCATGGTATATATATATATAT